ACTACTACTACTACCACTACTACTACCACTACTACTACTACTACTACTACTACTACTACTACTACTACTACTACTACTACTACTACCACCACCACCACCACCACTACTACTACTACTACTACTACTACTACTACTACTACTACTACTACTGCCACTACTACTATTACCACAGGCCTTCAGGCGGACACGCCCATTGAAGCCAGCCTCTCGGCGTTACGAGGGCGGTCTGAAATTAGCAGCCTTCTACATTACACTTTCACCACTGCTTGCGTTATCAATGAGTGCACGGCTTGTGGCAGCTTATATTGGCAGACCAATTCCAGGCGCTCCATGTGCTACCGCTGAAGTTCGGAAGCGGCGCGCATACGATTGCGAACATCTTCGTGTGCGCCATTGGTCTCACCATCCATCCTTTACAACGATGGTTGCGGGGACAGGTTCTGCAACAGCTCAGTCGAGTTTGTACCGTCTCTCCTGACTTGCCCGCGCCCGCCAACGGTGAGGGCATCGAGCTGTTCGAGGTGAACATCGGCCTGGTGGCGGATGCCGGCGTCTACTCGCTGGCGGCTCACGTAGCGCCCGGCTTGGGGTTGGCGGCCGAGGGGAGCAATCTGGGCGCAGGTAGCGGGGGTAAGCCCTCGCCCAGACCCCCCATCGCACCGTGGGAAGATCACGGCGGGAGGGTCATGGTCGTTCTCGGCCTGTGGGGCCGTCAACAGGTATACCCAGGATGAAGAGTTGGTGCTTGGGATGTCCTTGGGCATGGCTGCAGGTAATCAGAGGCCCACGTTGTGAATCAACTGCGATGTCGGGTTTTGGCAATGGGGGTCAGCTCGTCCCCTCTGACACCCTCTAGCTGACCCAGCTTCGGCAGCCATGTGTAGCCGACCTCCCTCCCCCCCTCTTCTGGCCTGGGTTTGGGGGCTATTTGATCGAGTGAGTTCCTCCAGATTTGGTTAGGCTGTGGAGTCCCCCTCGTGGAGAACCCGAGCCAAGATCGCCGCCATCTCCTTTGTCTCGTTATATCCTCCTTGCTCCTCATGTGTGCCCGGTCCGTGCTCACGACCTGCCCCCTCATGTCTGGCCAGACCCTTCTTGGGCCCCAGGATGCGCACAGACCCCCCTCGCGTCGGCGAGGGCCGTGCACCGCCTGCACCCTGCCAAGGCCCAGGCATGCATGGCGGCGGGGTTGGGGCCCTGATCGTGCGAAGTTGAGGAAGGAGAGGAGGAGGAGGAGGAGGAGGAGGTGGAGGAGGAGGAGGAGGAGGAGGAGGAGGAGGAGGAGCAGGGGGAGGAGGAGGAGGAGGAGGAGGGGGAGGAGGAGGAGGAGGAGGAGGAGGAGAAGTGGAAGGAGGGGGAGGAGGAGGAGGAGGAGGAGGAGGAGGAGGAGGAGGAGGAGGAGGAGGGGGAGGGAGGAGGGGCATCTCCCCCACCTCTCCCCGAGCGGCGCGCACGCCCCCGTTTTCTGTCCGCGGGCCGCCGCGTCTCGAGCCCTCTCGATCCTCCTCCGGAGGCGGATCGGATCCCCGCCCTTCTTGGACGTCGCGCGAATGGGGGAGCGATGCCATAGGGGGGGGGGGGGGCGGGGCGCGAGGGTTGCTGAAGAGCTGCCCCCTTGCTTGGACCTGGGAAAAGGGGCCCTCGAGGGCCCGAAAGGCGGCAGGAAGTCCACCTTTCTTTCCCCCCATGCCCAGACCCCCCCGCGCTGTAAAACAACACACGACGGGAGGTTTTTCGCTATTTTCGGCCTCCCATGGGTCCTTCCCGAGCCTCGGGACCGTCAACCGACTTAGGGTGAAAGACTGGTCCCCGCGAAGGGGTCCAGACTTCTGAGAGACACGTCATGCAAAAATCACGACGTCGGGGGTTTGGGTTAATCGCCCCCTCATTATGCTCGACTGCGCGTAAACGTGACCCCTCGCCAGAGTGACCTTTGGTGCGCGCCAATTGGGGCCTTCCGATCGCCGAGCACGGTGCGATAGTAGCGTCTTGCGCGCTTGTGTTTGGTCCCCCTGCGGCTCCCCCAAAGCCGCGCACCAAAGGTCTTTCGTACCCAGGGTCACTCTTGCGTGTAGCCGAGAAGCGACGCCCGACGCCATATCAGGTCGGTTGGCGAAGTGTTACGTTTTTTTGTTCGCTTCTCGATGGGGCCGCAACTTCGGGGGGCCCGCGCCTGGCGGGTTGGGTCCCGAGTCTCCTCTAGAGTTTTGATTCCCAACCATCCTGTGGTGTTGGGTCCTCGTTTTGAAGAGACGGTGCCCCGCGTTCTCCTTCCTTCCTTCCTTCCTTCCTCCCGCTGCCTCCTCCCCCCTCCCATCATCATCATCATCATCACACCCATTTCGGCACACCCCTCACACGTTTCGTGGCTCCATAGGGAGCTCCACCGAAGGCCCCAGTGCCCGCGGCCGCATGCGTCCCCCACACCCATTTCGGCACACCCCTCACACGTTTCGTGGCTCCATAGGGAGCTCCACCGAAGGCCCCAGTGCCCGCGGCCGCATGCGTCACCCACACCCATTTCGGCACACCCCTCACACGTTTCGTGGCTCCATAGGGAGCTCCACCGAAGGCCCCAGTGCCCGCGGCCGCATGCGTCACCCACACCCATTTCGGCACACCCCTCACACGTTTCGTGGCTCCATAGGGAGCTCCACCGAAGGCCCCAGTGCCCGCGGCCGCATGCGTCACCCACACCCATTTCGGCACACCCCTCACACGTTTCGTGGCTCCATAGGGAGCTCCACCGAAGGCCCCAGTGCCCGCGGCCGCATGCGTCACCCACACCCATTTCGGCACACCCCTCACACGTTTCGTGGCTCCATAGGGAGCTCCACCGAAGGCCCCAGTGCCCGCGGCCGCATGCGTCACCCACACCCATTTCGGCACACCCCTCACACGTTCGTGGCTCCATAGGGAGCTCCACCGAAGGCCCCAGTGCCGCGGCCGCATGCGTCCCCACACACCCATTTCGGCACACCCCTCACACGTTTCGTGTTTCGTGGCTCCATAGGGAGCTCCACCGAAGGCCCCAGTGCCCGCGGCCGCATGCGTCCCCCACACACCATTTCACACGTCACCCACACCCATTTCGGCACACCCCTCACACGTTTCGTGGCTCCATAGGGAGCTCCACCGAAGGCCCCAGTGCCCGCGGCCGCATGCGTCCCCCACACCCATTTCGGCACACCCCTCACACGTTTCGTGGCTCCATAGGGAGCTCCACCGAAGGCCCCAGTGCCCGCGGCCGCATGCGTCACCCACACCCATTTCGGCACACCCCTCACACGTTTCGTGGCTCCATAGGGAGCTCCACCGAAGGCCCCAGTGCCCGCGGCCGCATGCGTCCCCACACCCATTTCGGCACACCCCTCACACGTTTCGTGGCTCCATAGGGAGCTCCACCGAAGGCCCCAGTGCCCGCGGCCGCATGCGTCACCCACACCCATTTCGGCACACCCCTCACACGTTTCGTGGCTCCATAGGGAGCTCCACCGAAGGCCTCAGTGCCGCCGCCCGCATGCGTCACCCCCACCCATTTCGGCACACCCCCCGCATTTCTCGCACGGCAGGGTCATCACCACGGTGGCGTGCCAGGGGCGCACCATGCGCGAAGGCGACGGGGCGGGGGAACGGCGCTCCGGGGGCGGCCAGACCTCCGGGGCGCGAGCAGTCCGCGGCCAGACCATCTCTCGGTCCTGTGGACTCTCGCCCTGGGCCGTCGGCTGCCCGGCGCGCTGCTCCCTCGGTCGACGTCGCCCAGGCGTGATCCTGGATTGCGGCCGCCACGAGGTAGGGAACGGCAAGAAGGAGGACGACGACTGGTGGCTGGAGCTCTACGTGCTGCTCTCGCGCGCCACGCGCCACGAGGACCTCCTGCTCATGCGGGCGCCGCGCATCGAGTTCTTCCTGGCAGGGCCGCCGCAGGGCTTGCGGAAGCAGCTGGAGCAGTTTGCGGCGCGCACGAAGCGGTGCAGGAGGGAAGCGACGGCCCTCGCCAGGGAGCTCGGCTTCACCGAGTTCATCCGCGAGGCCTGACCTGAGGAGCGTCTCCCCCGAGCCGCGCCTTCTCTCGACTGCCCGACTAATTGTTTGGCCTCGCGCCGCGGACGACCCGCGCGCGTCGCTGGGACCCTCTCGGGGCGACCAGCGCGCGTCGCGGGAACTCCGTGCTGCGGGGGGCCCGGCGCCTCGTTCGCCCGTCGTCGCTCTGCCCAGCGGTCAGAGACTTGCCCGCTATCAGCCAGCCAGTTAGCTAGTCAGCTCTCTCTGCTTCGCGCAGCGGACGACCCGCGCGCGTCGCTGGGGCCCCGCCCGGGGCGACCAGCGCGCGTCGCGGGGACTCCGCGCTGCGCTGCGCCCGCAGCCTTGGATTTTGGAGTGCGCGGGCAAAGAGGAAGGAAAAGAAGAGCCGAAAGCGGGCGCGATCCTCGCAAGAGGCGTGCCGACATGGGCGTCGCGACGTGCGGACGCTGCCGTCGGGGTTCCCGCGGAAGCTGCCTGCGGCGGCCACGCCCAGTGTCACGTGTGTTCGGACAGGCATGCTCGACACTTACACTAGGCGGTTCCATGATCGCATTCATGCAAATATATTCACTCGCGCGCAGACCCATTCATACTCAGATTCCCTCGCGCTCTGACTCACCCGCGTTCTTTCTCTCGTAATCAGATTTATCGTATTCCTTTGCGTTGTGTACCCCGCCACATTTCGGCACACCCCTCATGCGGTTCGTGGCCCCATAGGGAGCGTCACCAAAGAAGATATTCACAATTGCGATACTCACAACTGCATATGGTTGGGTCCTTCGCCAGGATAACTGTGGTTTGCTGAAGGGGGTCCTGTCCGCAACGAACTCCTCTCCCCCTCCCCCCCGCCCTCATGCCTCCCTTACGCACCCCGCGCTGCGGGGGGGAAAGGAGGAGGAGGTGGAGGAGGGGGAGGAGGAGGAGGGCGGGTAGGAGGAGGAAGAGTCTGACGAGGAGGAGGAGGAGGAGGAGGAGCAGGAGCAGGAGCAGGAGCAGGAGCAGGAGCAGGAGCATGAGCAGCAACAGGAGCAGGAGCAGGAGGAGCAGTAGAAGCAGGAGGAGCAGCAGGGGTAGGAGGTGGAGGAGGAGGAGGAGGAGGAGGACCAGTGTAAGCCGAAGACCCATCAACGATGTTGCAACACCCCCCCTCCAAGCTCTCTCTTCATAGTCCTCATACAAGGATTCGTTTTCATTGAATGAAGTGCCCCGGTGGAAGACAACCGTTTGTGAATCCAGAGCTGCGCCAGAGCACCATTCCTGGGACTTCAACGCCGCAAATCATAATTGTTTTAGCGCCTTGACGGTCCTGAATTGTGCCAGAACGCACATTCTAGGACCTCAACGCAACGAATCAACGACAGCTGCGCCCTGACAGTCCTACACCGTGCTACAACACCATCTCTGGGACGTTAGCCATGACACTGTGTCAAACACTGCTGCAAATTCCGAACATTCGCGTCACTAAGGCGAGAGGAACATTTTGAAAGGGAACCGCCCTCCATCCGTGAAGTTGTTGCAAGCGTGTATGACGAATGCGCGCGGTGCAAAGGCGGTCGAGAACCACATCTTGAAATTATTCGCCCGTCATCCGAGAAGCTCTTGCATTTGCTAACGGATGTGCGTGGCGCTGAGGCGAGAGTCACATGTTGAAAGCCCCCCGCCCTCAATCTGCTAAACTCTTGCAGCTTTAAAGCAAACGGATGCGCGCGGCGCTGTGGAGAGAGCCACATATTGAAAGCGACCCGCACTCCACCCGTGAAATTGGTGCAGGTCCGAAGCTTTTGGATCATAATTGGTGAGGGCGTCTCAGGCAAAACGTCGGGCCCGACCTTCCGACCGGCCTCGGTGTGCGACAGGCAGGAGTTTTCATTTGTAATGGGGATTGAAGAGGAGGAGGAGGAGGAGGAGGAGGAGGAGGAGGAGGAAGGGAAGGAGGAGCAAGCGGAGCAGAAACAGGAGGAGCAGGAAGAGCAGGAGGGGGAGGACGAGCAGGAGAAGGAGGAGGAGCAGGAGGAGCAGGAGGAGGAGGAGGAGGAGGAGACCGAGGATGGGGAGGGCTGCGCCACTTCGGCACCAGAGCCCACATCCCCGAAGGCCTTGAAAAAGAGGGAGGATGGGGCAGTCCTGGAAGGGACAGAGGGGGTCGAGGGAGGGGAGTGGGAGGGGAGAATGGGGAGCAGCAGCAGGATCCCCGAGGGTCCCCCATGAACCCCCGCAAGGTTGGCAAAACCGTGCGCGCGTGTACGTACCACTTGGTTTTGCGCTGTTGTTCTTGTCGGTTGCTCGTTTTCTTTTTGTTTGTTTGTTTGCTGGCGCATGTGGCGGTTTATTCCCTGGGCAGTTACAATGTATCCATTCTGCTGCAGGCTTCCCAACAAAGTGGGCTCTTGTCTAGAGTCTCCCGCGTTTTTTTTGTGGCGGGCCAGTGTTTCTTCCCTGCAGCAGCCCCACTACAGGTCTTGTTTGTGGCTGATTACTAAGTCATGTCTCTTCGTGGTAGATTAGCAAAGATATTGTTTGCGATCGACTTCCTCCCGCGGCAGGGTAGGACAGTATTTTTGGTGCGGCGACGTTGCACAGTGGCTTCTTTTGTGGCTGATTACAAGAGGGCTTCTTTGATGGCGGACTACCTACGTACGTATTATGTTTGTGGCGGGTTGTGACGTGTGTATATACGTATAGACGGGTTGCAGAGGAATTCGTTTTGTTGCGAGTTACAACGGGGTTCTTTCTGTAGTTGGTTACATGTTGATTCCCGTTGTCGGTCTTCCTGGTGACCCAGGGGGCAACGTAAAACTAAGCAGAAAGTCGCACATGAATTGGCAATGCTGAAAACTGAAGGCTTGTAACTATTGTCCCATGGTTCGAGCTCTACACATTCAAACAAATACGCACCAATACGCTCAGCCGTTTAGAAGCCACCCCCATGTACGAATCATGAAACTGCATATGGAGCACGTCCAGCAGACACTGTGTGCGAACAGTTTCGGGATCCACGAGTTGAAACGTGTAGTGTTGTTAGATGGCCTTGGCCCCGACATGTACAGCAGTAGAGTGTGGGTTGTTTGGTTCATCTAGTTTTGTTTTAAGCATACAAGTTTCATATGTTCAATGATTTTATGTATCCTTGTTGTTATCTTGTTACCCCTGGCTCACAGCCAGGAGGGCTCAAAACGTGAATCCATTTGTCACCCGCTGCAGAAGGAATCCCTTTGTAATCTGCCACAACAGGAACCCCTTTGTAACCCGCCTCATAAGGAGTCTGTCTTGCAACCCATCAAAATTCCAATAATCTTTGTACAGCCCGCAACAACACGAATCGCTGTGCAACCCGCCACAACGTGCAATCCGCCACAACACACATTAACTTGTAGTCGGCCGCGGAAGCGTTTTAAAGGCCGCCACGCAAGGAATCGTTTTGTACCCCGTAACAACACTTATAAACAATGTGTGAACCGCCACAAAAGGAATCCTCGTGCATTCCGGCATAAGAGGAATCCATGTCGAAGCCGGCACAGAAAATATTCTTGCACAATCCAGAGTACATCCTTGTATACGGCCGCCATAGAATTTATGTGGTTGAAATCCGCCACGCAAGTACTCAATTCGTAGCCCGCCACATAATAATCCCATTCGTAATCAGCCACACAAGGAGCAACTTGGAATCCGGCACCGAAACAAACAATCGGCAATTCGCCATAGAAGGATTTCTTTTGCAACCCGCAAAAAATGTTTACCTACAGCCCGCCACAAGAGAAACACTTTCACAAACCGCCACGATGTTACGATTTTCTTCTTGCTCGGCTGGCACTTCGGGAACCCTTTTGGCAAAGCCACCGCCCTAGCCACCCCGCAGGGACGAACGTACTCGAACTACAAGCATAGGATGAGGTGGCGATGAAAGAAGAGAGTGAGTACCAGGAGGAGTACAAGAGCTACCACAGAGCCCCTGGAAGGTTCAACGCATCGCAGGGCGTCAATGCATCTGGCGGCGGCTGGGGGATCGGTTTGCAAAAGGCACTGCAACATACAATGCCGGATCCGCCTCCCCAGCGACAACTATGGTTGCTCCCCCCACGGTGGTACATGTCACCATGCTCCTAATCATGTTTATAATCGTCGCCCTCTCGAATTTCACTTCTCCCCCCTGGGGCTGAGCCCTCCGTGGCTCGTGCCAGTGGCGCTGAGATCCTTCGCGGCCTGCGACGCTGGCGCAGAGAGCTTCAGGGCTCGTGCCAGCCAGGATTCGGGCGCAGGGCCCTTGGGGTGCGCGCTCCTCGCTCTATCGGCGCTGAATATTTCGGGGCTCGCGCCATTGGCGTTGAACCCTTCGGGGCTCGTGCCAGGAAAGCTTTGAGCGCGGGCTTTGTGCTCCCAGCTTCGTCGGCGGTGAAGGCTTCGGACTCGCGCTACTTGCGCTGAGTCTTCCGGGGTTTCGGGGCTCGTGCCAGGGAAACTTTGAGCGCAGAGCCCTTTCTCGGCTCGTGTTCCCAGCCTTGTCGGCGCTGAATACTTCGGGGTTCGGAATTTCTCATTCGCGCAAGTGTTCTTGTGATTGAAGCAGGACGTTAGGTTCGTGTTGAGGGCCTTCGGTTTGTAACGGATGCATCTTCGCTTGCGCATAGACGCCCATATGCTCCACACATGCATTGTACTACCTCGCTGGAGGCGTTCGTGCTTCAGCACCAGACGTGGAGAGATGCCTTGATCGTGTGCAGACTTGCCACGGTGAGTAACATCTTCGGCGCGTGCGCGCGCACTGCAACCCCTGGCATGAGCATGCGACGCGTATGACAAATTTTAGCCACGCATCAACATGAAAGCTCACCCGCGCGTGGTCGAAGCTGAAAAGCCGCCGATGGCAAAGTTCATGCGCAGCCACCGGGCATGCGTTCGAGTGAAAAGCAGTGCTGCGTTGGTTTAGTTTCGCGTGTACAAGAATCGTTCGTTACAGTTTCGCCATCATTGACCATTGTCATCGCCGTCGCCACATTGGCGGTTTCGTTGTATGGATCGTTTCGCATCCGGTATCAAAGCGTTGTGACCGTCGGACTGCGAGAGCGATTCCACGAGAACGCTCCGTTGCGATACCATAAACTGCGTAGGCCACACACGGCATTGTCGACTCGACCCCGCCCATTCAGTACGGGGTCCACAGAAGTCTTCTGTACACATGGCAGGCTTCCCATCCCGACCCGTCTTTTGTCGATCCCGGGGCCCGTCGGGGACCCGAGAAAGGCCGAGCATTACGAAACATTTTATGTTGTGTCTTTTCCACGACGCGGGCATGTCTGGGGCGGAGAGGCGCGCATGTGCTCCTCATCTGGCCGCTCCCGGCTCGGGCTGCCAGCGGGCGCCAGCCGGACCGCCCCCCCGGCGGGGCGCGCAGGGGGAGGTCGGCGGCGCCCCCCTTGCGCGCCGGCGGGGCGCGCCGGCGGAGATGGCCCCCGAGAGGGGGGACGAGAAAGAGGACGAGAGCGAGAAGGAGGAGCTCGTGTTCTTCCTCCCTCTCCATATTAACTCCGACGACATTCTGAGTTTCCCGGGTGGGGTCGGAGTAGGTTGGATTGGTCGCGCCGCATCGGCGACGCGGAGTGATTGGGGGCCCAATTTGTTCCACGCCGATGGCGCCGATGCATCGCCGACATCGGCGATGCATAGGCGACGCGGCGCGATTCTCCGACCCCATCAGCTCGGACCCGTTGTTGGAGGTCAACGTATGATTTGTTCAACCGTGTTTTTTTGCTTTTCGATTTGGGTCTCCAGGGGGCCCGGGACCATCAAGAATGGACACGGAGCGAAGTACGTAACACCCCACAATTGCGGATAGGAGTGAGGGGGCGGCGGGGACGTCGGCAGTTTGCGAGGCTCCGAAGAAGCTCGCCGCCGGCGCCATTTCGCGCCAGGAACCCGCCGTAGGCGCTGATTTTTAGACAAAACAACGTGGGTGGGTCACGGGGCGGGTCGCGGGTCCTGCTCATTCATCGCCAATCGGGTCCTGCCCCCCAGGCCCCGCCCAGGATCGGGATCGTGCGGTTCGGTTTTGCTGTCGGGGGCCAGTCGCCGATTGGTCGGTGGTGTGTTGCAAGTTCGGGGTCGATATTTCCCCCCCCCCCCCCCCCCCCCGTTGGGAACCAATCCCCTCCCGAGATGCTTGCCCCCACGACGTTCGGGACTGGGTTTTGCCACTCGGGGAGCACATCGATTTTCGGCCAGATCGTGGAAAGCGTGTGTCCGCGCGCACGTTCGCGCGGGAGTAGATGCTGTTACGACGGTGGCGTTTTTTGGAGGGACGAAAGGGGATCGGGGCCCTCGGGGGCCCCATGTTTTGCCCCAAGAGAGGCCGACCCCGTCATCCCAAACACGACAGAAACAGCTGGTTTCCATGCCAGAGCTCACAGTTTTGCTGTTGCCAAGTCTTGACTTCGTCACGTGCCGTATTGCTCGGTATCGGCCATGTGTTTTCGTTATTCTCAACATGTAACACGTACACATCTGTCAATGTAAAGATGTATACGCGTGCGTGCACGTTTAAGACCCTTCCAGAGGGATTGTTGCTACCAAGGCCCCCCTTGGTAGGAGGCCTCGGTAACCATCTTTTGCGAGGCCGCCCCATGAGAGGATCGAGTGTCCAGGCGGGACCTTGAGAGGCAGATCCAAGACCTGAGGCGCGAGAAGGTGCGCCTCGAGGAGAGCATCAAGCAGATGGACCGGGCCCAGGAACGGATCTTCAGCTCTGAAAAGCGGCCAGGGAGACCAACGCCAGCGGACGAGGAGGACGCTTCCAAGCAGAAGCGCTCGAAGAGAGGCGGCGACGACGAGGGCGAGAAAGAGGAACGCGAGGAGGAGAAGGATGACAAACCGGATGCCGGGAAGAAGGGCGCCGAGGATGGCGGCGACAAGGGCAGCGAGAAGGGCGGGGGCGGGGAGGCCGAGGAGAAGAGGGCCGGGGAGAAGAGGGGCGAGGGCTCCGACAACGGCTCCGACAAGGAGGACAGGGGCGCCGACAAGGAGAAGGATCACGTGGTTCCAAAGGGGCCCAGGGAGAGGGGCCTCTGAGACGGGCGACGCCGATGCCTCGAGCCCGCTCGGCTTCGCCCACGAGGTCGCCGCAGCGGCGCTCTCGCTCGCACTTGCCAGAGTCTCGGGGCAGCGCCGCGGCCTCTGGAGCCCCTGTCGCTGGGGTCCTCTTGGGCAGCGCACCCACAGGAGGAGGGGAAGGACAGGGGCCGGGCAGGGCTCCAAGCCGCCACGGCGCCGGAAGCCCCTGCCGGGGCGGCCACGGGGGCCCACCGGGGGGGCCCCGGGCGCGCGCTCTCCTGGTGCCGCCCGCCTGCCTCTTGGCCCGGAGGGCGCGCCCACAGAGCCTGCAGCGCCAGCGTGGCCAGCCAGGATCGGCCCTGGCATGGAAGTGCGAGTCGGGCCTGTGCCTCTGCAGTGAGGTCGGGCCTGTCCCTCTATACGGGGGAATGTTCAGACATAGCCAGGAAGCAGTCTGGGGGCGGTGTCTTGATTCTTGTTGGCCATGTTTGGAGCATTTCTGCTGGTACTCGTGTTGCATGTTTCGTCCAGTGGGACACGCCCGAGCTAACCTGAAGTCGGGCGTGTCCCTCTACAGGAGGAATATTCAAGGATAGTCAAAACAGAGTGCGAGGACGATATTTCGACCATGCTTGGCGATTGTTGAAGCTTCTTTTGATTTGTTTTATCTGTTTCGTCCAGAGTCCGCCTGTAAGAGGACACGCCCGACCTGGGCCTGGCCTGGACCGGGGGGGGGGCGTCCTCACGAGGGGGATGAGGGCGAAGGGGGCAGGTGGACGTCATCCCAGACATGCCCGCGCCGCGCAGCAAAACATAAGAAAATCAGATGGCGTTTGGTAGTCTTCGGCCTCGGCCCTCTCGCGGGCCGCAAGGGCCGTCCAGACAGCGGCGGAGGGATGCAGAGCTGGCCCTGGGCAGGGGGTCCGGCTTACGGGGGCCCCGCACGGAAACGATCACGGCCTCGGACGCCTGGGCCTCCTCCTCCTCCTCCTCTCCACACGCCCCCCCCCGTCCTCCCGCCTCGTCCGCGCAAACGCGCCTCGCGCCGTGGTCTGCCCCCCCCCCCCCCCCCCTCCCTGTCCCTGGCCTCCCGCTGCGGGGCGCGCCCCATGGCGCGACGCCTGGACTTGCGGGGCCAGCGCCTCCCGGAGGCCGACCGGCAGTGCGAGCCTGCGCTCCTGGCGCCGCGCTTCCTGGGGGGGGAGGGGCCACGCCCGGCCTCGCCTCGCGCGGGGGGAGGGCGGAGCAGCGCCGACCCAGGATCGCGCGTGATGATCAGCGACGGGTCCCGCTTCCTCCATGGGAAACCGCGGACCTCCGCCGTCGCGAGCGAGGCGGCGCCGGCCGCATTCCGGGGAGGGCCCCTCCCCGGATCCACGGACTCGACGGCCGCGCGCCAGATCCATGGATCGCCATAGTCCATGTTTTTTTTTTACGCGCCCCCGAGCAGTGTGTTCCCCGAGCAGCTCGTCGGCAGGGGTTCGGTGTGACGCTTCGCACGCCCGGTGCGGTGGAGCCCCGGGCCCGGTGGCCCGTCGCCTCTCCCCGTGGGTGGCCCCCATCGCGAGCCGTCGTCCCCCTCGCGAGCCGCGGGCAGCTGCTGGGGCTCTGCTGCCGCGGGAGCTCTCGGCCTCCCAGATGGGGTCCGAATGTCAGGAGCGGCAGAAGGACGTACACCCCGCGAAATGCTTAAGAATTCATGGGTTAAGAAATTCATAGTCTCAGAACTTGAATAAAAAAACCCAACATTTCTATTAAATCTTAAGATTTACATTGAAACGTTAAGAATAGTCGAGACTCTGGCCGAAAACGTAAGTTTTCTTAAGCATCGCCTAAGGTGTACACGTACATGAATCCACGCTGCTTTCGAGACTGCGCACTGCGCAAATGTCCGTATGAGGCGGCCGGTCTCGCGGATCGAGGGGCCGTGTTCCTGTACATAGTTGGGTGCGTAACGTCCTCTGTGGGCTCCCTAGAATAGATGGGGTCGGTGGATCGCGCCGCATCGCCGATGCATCGCCGATGTGGCGCGATGTGGGTCCCGATTTTCTCCACGCTGGCGTCGCCGATGCATCGCCGACGTCCCCGATGCATCGCCGATGTAACGGCGATGCGGCGCGATCCTCCGATCCTATCTACTCCGACCCCTATCTAGGAGGCCTCTAAGAGTGTCATTCTTACATCCCCGAGTGCAGTTGACGGGGCCAGGGTATGGGTGTCGTGGGATAGTCCCGATCCAGACACTTGGCAAACCGACGGATACCCAGTGCTAGAGTGCCAGGCCGCATGACATATCGATTGGCCGACACATCCAGCAACACCCGTGCCTCCAAACAAACAATTTGATCGTGCTCCCCGAAGGCAAAGGACAAGGAGAAGGACGATGACACCCGTCCGACGGGCTCCGCCAAAGGCAGGCCAGACAGGCGGAGCTGGCAGCAACTCACGGGATCCGTGTATGTCTTTGCAACTCCGTTTTTGGAGTGCGATGGCGTGCGCCAGCGTCTGGTAGCCAACGAGGACACGCCGACCTGGCTCCGATTAGCACCAGCGTTGCGTCGAGCAGCACCAGCTTAGCGTCGAGCAGCGCCGACGGGAAGCGATGACACCGGAGGCTCCCATGAGTGAGCTGCCACCGAAGGCGGAGCCGGCAGATTTTCGGCGGCCTCCTGGGGCACCTGCATGCCGCGAAGAGCCGGCTCGAGCAGGAGAGGGGCGATCCGAAGAGCCAGCTCCGGCAGAAGGCCGGTGCCTTCCCGCCCTTCCTCCGCGCCCTCTGGGCTTTTTTATCGCAGAGGAGCAATGCAGTGCCATTATCTGCACGAACGAGATGAGCGCGGAAAGGATGGATGTGCTGTCCATTTCGAACAGGACTCGCTGTCCGCGCCGCCGCGGCCTGTGTCCATCTGAGACAGAAGGCCACCTGCCCAACAGCGGCCGCTGCTGGTTTGGGACAGCATTTGTTGTTGGGCCTTGTGCCCAATTTTTCCCGTACTCCAGATTTCGTACTAAAGGGAGGGGGGTCTCATTTCGGGGGGGGGTCTCTTCCAGGCTATCTTGGAGGGCCTGGGGGGTCTGGGGACGATGTTTTGGAGGGTTCTCCCGCGGGGGAGGTCTGAAATGGCTTGTCTTGGAGGGCCCAGACCCCCTCCCTTTTACTACGAAGTCTGGAGTACCCACTTCGGGCGTCGAAACATGGCCGAGAGCGCCCGGTAGTAGTCAGAGCGTGAATTACCTCCCCCGCTTTCGCTTCCAGGCAAAACCAAGTCATACCACGCGCCTCCTTGTCAAGCGGCCTGACAAGCGCAGGCCGTAGTTTGGCATCGTTTGGTATCTCTTGGAAGCGAGGGTGGTCAAAAGCGAGGTAGGTTTGTTTTCCCCCTAAGTAGATCCTCCCAGCCTGCCCCCCGGAGAGTTGCTTCTCTCCGGCCAAGACGGGGCTGGTCGGGGGAGGGGCGGCGAGGCCGCGGCTCTGCCTTTCGCGGGGATCGTGCCGCAGCCAGGCTGCTCTCTGCTTCAAGTTGGGCAGCGGCATCGTCGCGAGCGCAAGGCGGGCGCTCGGAGGGCACCAACTGTGCACCAACACCGATCCTGGCCCAGGATCGCCCTGGGCCCAGGATCGGTGTACATGCCTTCTTGCGCAGGGCAGGAGGGCGCATACACCGATCCTGGGCCCAGGGTGATCCTGGCCAGGATCGGTGTTGGTGTATAGTTGGTGCCGTCCTAAGGCGGCCTCAGGGCCGCGCCCTCCCGAGGACAAGAGCCTCGTCGTCATCGTCGACGCCGTCGTCCACGTGCGGCGGCAGCGACGGCGACTTCCTCCTTCCCCGCCGTGCATCCCGCGTGCGACTTGCCGGGACAACTCGTTCACTATCCCCCCGTGGCCCCGATCTTTAGCATCCCCTGGGCGGTATTCTCAGGGGCATCTGGTCAGTCGGCTCAGAACAACATTTTGTCGGACCTCTGCGCCGTTTGCTTGAATCGGCGCTGGGCCCCCCTGGTGGCGCTTCTGGCGCCGCCCCTGGCGCGTTCCGCGCGCCGAAGGGGGTGGGCAGCGCCGATCTAATCGTCTGCGGGAACCCCCGGAAGGTTCTGTTTATGTCGTGTTCTGTTCTTCTAATCTTACGCAGAAGACGTATGTACCCCCAGGCTCCGGTCATAGAAGATTCCAGTGGCATGCTCGAGCTGCAGGACAACTCACGGCGCAAGGCTTTTGGCCACGTTCGGCCTCCAGGGCACCTCGCTGGGCCCCAGGACTGCCAGATGATTTTGTTGGGGGTGCGACCCGTCCCTGGGAAGGGTGCCATAGTGAACGCGCCGCTGCGCTCCCCGTGGCTCGGGCTGCAGGCCGTCGTGCGGCTGCGTGCCTCCTGTGGCCCGTCGTTTCGCCTCGCGGCAGCCGTGCTGCTGCACGACGAGAAAGCCTACCCTCCTCCTTACCCTCCTCCTTACCCTCCTCCTCCTCCTCCTCCTCCTCCTCCTCCTCCTCTTCCTCTTCCTCCTCCTCCTCCTCCTCCTCCTCCTCCTCCTCCTCCTCCTCCTCCTCCTCCCCCTCGTACTGCACGCTTTGGCAGGGATGTGGGTGGACCACTAGGAGGCGAGGGACAAGGCAGGCCAAGTTGTTGATTGCTTTCAGGGAGAACGCGTGCGACCCTCCCGCCGACCCCCCCCCCTCCGTAACGGTAGCGGTTGGAAACTAGCCACAGGCGTGAACCGCTCGAGTTTCCCCGGGACTCTCTAGGGACCACCATGCAGTTCCTACGGATCCTCGCAGGATTCATTCGAGCCATCCGGTGAAATGCGAGGAGGGAGGAGTAGGAGGAGGACGAGGGGGAGGGTAGGAAGAGGAGGAGGAGGTGGAGGGGGAGGGGGAGGGGGAGGGAGGAGAAGGAGGAGGAGGAGGCGGAGGATGGAGGAGGAGGAGGAGGAGGAGGAGGGAGAGGAGGAGGATGATGAGGAGATTGAGGAGGCGGAGAAGGAGAGGAGGAGGAAGGAGGAGAGGGGAGGAGGGAGAAGGAGGAGGAGGAGGAGGGGAGGAGGGTGGACGGAGGAGGTGTGGAGAGAGGGGAGAGGGAAGGAGGAGGGGAGGAGATGATGATGATGAGGAGGAGGAGAACGAGCGGAGGAGGAGGAGGAGGGAGGAGGAGGAGAAGAAGTATGAAGAGGAGGAGAAGTTGGATGAGGAGGAGGGGAGGAGGAGGCAGAGCAGGAGGAGGAGAATGTGGAGGAGGAGGAGAGGAGGAGGAGGAGGAGGAGGAGGGGGAGGAGGAGAATGTGGAGGAGGCAGGGAGGAGGAGGAGGGGAGGAGGGGAGGAGGACGAGGAGGACAAGGAGGCGGGGGATGCGGCGGAGGAGGAGGCGGAGGAGGAGGAGGAGGAGGAGGAGGAGGCGGGGGAGGAGGTGGGGAGGCGGAGCAGGAGGAGGATGCGTGGGAGGAGAAGGTGAGGAGAGGTTGGTGGAGGACGACGACGACTCATCTGGCCAGGAGGATCCCGAAGGTGCATGGGCGTCGTGGTGATCTTGCGCTGTGGTGCGTTGCGGCAACGTGTTGCCGGCCGCTGTTGCAGCAATTGATGGTGCGCGCAAGCGTGGTGGTGCGCATGGATTGTGGTGTACACAGGGCGCTATGGTGCTGGGATGTGCACAGGCGCCGTTGTGTACAAATGCGATCTGGTGCACGCAGGCACTGTGGTATACACAGGCGCCGTTGCGCACACGGCTGCTGCGGTTGACAGCGGCAACATGGTGTGCATACGCGGCGTGGTGTTATGGTGCACTAGGCTGCTTGGGTGTACAGAGGCCTCGTGTACAGAGACACTGTGGTGTACGCAGTCGCTGTGGTACACGCAGGCGTTTTTCATTCACACGAAGATTGTGGTGCACACAAGCGAGTGTTGCGCCAGTGCTGCGGGCGCGCCTTGAGGGTGCACGCCGCGGCTGCCGGTTCGGTACCCCCCTTCCCCGCCGTCCATTTGTAACACGTGTTACCCCCATGCATAGAAAAGAACAATATCTTAGCCTTCCTGTGCTCGAAGAGGCATGAGCACGCCCTGCTGATTATTTTGCACGGGACAGGGTTTTGCGCGTTGTCACGCTCGATGTTCGGGCGATTCCATGTTTGCTTGGAGCATGTGATCGGCACCATTGTTTGCAGGTGCTCGGGATTGCCGTGTTTGAACTCTTGGTTGCCAGTCCTCCGAGGAGAAGGCGGAGGAGAAGGGGGAATACGTTTCTGGTCGCCACAGGCTGAGGAGAAGTTGCAGGAGAAGATCCAGCTGTCAAAGGTTAACATCAAAGAGTTCAGGAAGGCCGAGTTCGAGAAGCAGAAGGTGCCGATAACATTCATAGACATAATCGCACGTGTCGGGGGCATGAGAGTCTCCGTGATAACAGTTGGAGAAAAGCCGGTTCGGTCTTGAAGCTCCATAATTTGCATTATAACTCCTTTCCAGGTGGAGCAGCAGGAGAAATGCAAGGATATATTGAAACAGATCGAGGAGAAGGAGTTGCTGCTTCTCCAGAAAAGGCTTGAGGAGCATTATGGCCTGATGATGAACTTCATCAGAACCCAGGCGGAGCCTACAATCTTCTATCTTCCCGCCTCGCACAACGACAAGACGAGGGCACAGCTCGCGGAGACCCGAACGGCGATCAAGCACAAGATCTCCTCGTTGAAGGGGCAGCTGCAGCCGCCTGACGAGGATCGGCAGAGATATGAAAGGCTGCCTCCTCCTCCTCCTCCTCCTCCTCCTCCTCCTCCTCCTCCTCCCACTCCTCCCACTCCCCCTCCTCCTTCTCCTCCTCCTCCTCCTCCTCCTCCTCCTGCCCCTCCTCCTCCTCCTCCTCCTCCTCCTCCACCTCCTCCCTCCTCCTCCTCCTCCTCCAGCCACAGCAGGGTGCTCTGTCCAAGCTCCCAGCGCTCTTGTGGCCCCTGCCGAGAAACTGATGACGGCTTCTGATGGAGGCTGATCAATTCCGACCAATGCGGGCCTTTCAGGGCCGTCGGGGATGCTGCGTCTCGTAACAACCATGGCCAAATCGAAGGCCAACCGAGCATCACCCTCCTTTGGCAACGTATCGACACACTGCACACCAATCCGCCGCGATATCGCGTAAGCGGGGATCGTCTCAGTGATCGTCTGATTCAGCCGTCGTTGGTAATTATTGTGTTCTTATCAAGACTGCGTGTTCGATCGATCGCGAACCATTTGGCCACGATGGTCCGAAACACGATCAGCAAACACACAATCACGTCACGTGCAATTGGCCTTATTATGGCGTTCGACTTGCATGTATACTCCCGTCATGTCGACAAATCTGTCTCAGGCATCAGAGTCGACCCCGAGTTGATCCTGGTATGACGACGAGGAGCACCCCCCCCAGAGCACCCGATTAACGCCCGAAGGATTCGATCCTTGACCTCGAGACCCTCGACCTCGAGACCTCGAATCTCGAATCAGTTAGTCCGCTTATGCCCTATCGCCTGGGAATTCGGCGGTCCCGTCTTGTAGCATCGTTGGCCCTTGCCTGCGTGCTCCCGATGGGGCTTTTCGGGGGCCTCATTGGGCCCATGGCTGCCTCGTGGGGCTTCTCATGAGGCTGCTTGGCTGCCTCATAGGGGCTTCTCATGGGGGCCGCCTGGGGCCTCCTGGGACCTCTCGAGGGCCCCGTGGCAGTCTCGGAGGCTACCTTTGGGGGACACGGGCCCGAAGTCCCCGTTCGCCCCCAGAAGCCCCCCCCACCCCGAAGTCCCAGTTCGCCATCCCCCCCCCCCCCCCATCTTGGCTCCATTCGAGCTCGAGGCGGGACTCGAGCCTCGAACCGCCTGCTCTGCTCAGTCCGTTGTGCCCTCGCCGGCGGGCCCAGGGTGAGGGCCAATGTCTGTCCCACCACCACCAACAGGTACGGTAGGAGTGGAAGAAAGAAGAGAGAGAGAGAGAGAGGAGAGGGGAGAGAGGAGGAGGAGGAGGAGGAGGAGGAGGAGGAGGAGGAGGAGGAGGAGGAGTGAGGAGGAGGAGGGGAGGAGGAGGAGGAGGAGGAGGAGGAGGAGGAGGAGGAGGAGGAGGAGGAGGAGGAGGAGGAGGAGGAGGAGGAGGAGGAGGAGGAGGAGGAGGAGGAGGAGAGGAGGGAGGAGGAGGAGGAGGAGGAGGGAGGAGGAGGAGGAGGGAGGAGGAGGAGGAGGAGGAGGGGAGGAGGAGGAGGAGGAGAGGAGGAGGAGGAGGAGGAGAGGAGGAGGAGGAGGAGGAGGGAGGAGGAGGAGGAGGAGGAGGAGGAGGAGGAAGGAGGAGGAGAGGATGGGGAGAGGTAGGAGGAGAGAGCGTAGGAGGAGGAGGAGGAGGGGAGGAGGAGGAGGAGGAGGAGGAGGAGGAGGAGGAGGACCTCCCCATCCTCCCTTCTCCCCCGCCCCGCCTATGGCAGTGGTGGACAAGATCGGCCCCTCGCAGGAGCAGCTCGCCGCCGAGCTCCGGGAGCGCGCCGCCCGCAACTCCGCCGCGGAGGCCGCGATGGCCGCCGCGGAGGGCGCGGCGCCGCCGCCCGCCGAGGCCCGCTCGGGCAGGGTCTGCGTCCGTAGCCGCCCGCGTCCCGGGCCCGCCTGGGAGGGGGCGCCGAGGGGCCAGGAGGCGGTGGACGTCGAGCAGTGGCTCGGGGGCGGCAAATAGGGGGGTGATGGCTAGGGGGCGGGGGGATATCATGGCGGGGGCCACGATATTCCCCCAGGTTTCATGGCGCCTCTTCTTACTGCATGGCGTCCCTGGCCCCCCCGCTGGGCCGCGCACGTGCCGCCGGTCATGATTTGCACCCCCCCCCTCTTGGACCCCCCCCTCTTGGCCGCTCCCGAGTGGCGGAGCGTCCTGGCTTGCTTATAGAAGAGCCCGCCAAAGGATGCTCTAGGACCCTCTCGTGGTTTGCACGGCATGCTCGTCGAGCAGCTCTGGCTGGGGCCGTCCTGTTTCAAGGCACCGCCGATTTCCGCCGTTCCAATTTGAGGGACGAGGAAGAGGAGGAGGAGGAGGAGGAGGAGGAGGAGGAGGAGGAGGAGGAGGAGGAGGAGGAGGAGGAGGAGGAGGAGGAGGAGGGGGAGGAGGAGGAGGAGGAGGAGGAGGAGGAGGGAGGAGGAGGAGGAGGGCGAGGAGGAGGGGGAGGAGGAGCTCACCACCCTTCCTTCCCCCTGGTGGTGGTGGTGGTGGAAAATTGGCCCATTGAAATTCATGTCGATGCGGGGAGGAGGCGGAGGAGGAGGAGGAGGACGAGGAGGAGGAGAAGGACGAAGAGGAGGAGGCGGAGAAGAAGGAGGAGGACGAGTAGGAGGAGCAGGAGGAGAGGAGGCGGAGCAGAATGAGGAGGAGGAGGAGGAGGACTGTCGATCGCCGATTCGAGTCGGCGGTTCGATGCTGGGCTCTCCCCCGCCTGTGGCTCCTGGGGCCGGCCCGTCGCCTTCGAATGCTAAGGGGGCGCCCCCCTTGCGCGTGCCACGCCGGCTCGCTGCGGGGCGCAGGGGCGGCCCGACCGACCACTACTAATCAGCAGCCACGCGCAGAGGGGGGTGGGGGGGGGAGGGGGGAGGGCTTCTCAGAAGCACCCCTGCTCCGTAGAGGGCGCGGTCCTCATCTGCAGATGTAAGGCCACGCCTTCTAAGAAGCAGCCTCCTTCTCAGAAGCCATCCCCCCTCCCTCCACTCCCCATCTGCGCGCCGCAAAAATCATGAGTCGGGCGTGTCGTCCGACAGGAGGAATATCTAAAAATAGTAAACACAATATTCTGGGGACGATTGTTTAACTAGTTCTGATTTTATTTGAGCATGTTTTGAGTATTTTGTTTTCTCTTGCCAAATCCGCCTGTAGGGTGACATGCCCGACCTGACAATAATGATAAGTCAGGCATGTCGTTCGACAGGTGGAATATGCAACAATAGACAAACACTTATATGGGGACGATGGTATCTACGTACTATCTCTGAACATGTTTGCGTATTTCGTTGGCTATTCTTTTTGTTTCGTCCCAAATGCGCCTGTAGGAGGACATGCCCGGCCTGAGAATCATAAGAAACCATCCCCATGCGTGACGTCCCCCTCTCGCCTCGCCCCAAGACAGACGTATGCGGCCGGAGGAAGCTCGAGAGGCGAGGATGACGTCACAGGAGGGGATGGCTTGCTGGGCGTCGGTCAGGCCGCACCCGAGGGGCCCAGGTTCTGGGGTCCCCTGGGAGTCGTGAGGGGTCGTTCGTTGCTTGGCGTCTTCGGGGGGACGTCCCTGTCCCGTGGATGGCAGTCTTGTCTCTTGTGCTCCGACGTTGGTTCGACGCGGATTCGACGTGAATCCGACGTGGATTCGGCACATATTCGAGGCATTCGACACGGCTGCGACTCGGATGGCTGGCGCGATGGGACAGACGAGACCCCCCAAAGATGCAACATTATGCTCGGGAGGCCATCTTGGGCGCTCCAGAAAGTACCCTGCTTTCCCATATCTCCGAGGATGTGATTTTTCCAACTGGCAGCCGGCATTTTTTCTTCGATGCTCGCCTCCATTGCAGGGCCCGTTATCGGGCCCTGGGACCATCAAACTAGCATCCGGGGCGAGACATTGGCCCCAGGGAAAGGGTCGGGACCTCTGGGGTGGCGCATCTTGGAGGAGGTCTGGGTCCAGGATTGAAGGAGTTGACATCTCGTCCCTGGCGGAAGGCCCGCCGAAGGCGGCGGAAGCAAAATTGGGTCGCATCCGCCGGCGGAAGCCCGCGGGAGTAAAAAATGACCCTCTCAAGTGACGTCAATGGTTGTGGGTCGGACCGTCTTGAACCGCCATATCCCAATCGACCCATGTTCTTGGCATGCCCTTCTCTAGGTGCCAACCTGAAGGATCCCTCCAGCTCCTAGGGTATGCCTCTCAGCTTATCGTCGCCTTGGGCTTGTCGACCTGAGGGGGAGGGAGGAGCTCTCCATGGGCCACCCTGGGGGCCAGGGCCACGAGACTCTCCCGGAGGATGGCGGCGGCGAGGGCAGGGGCGTCGACGGCGAGGCGGAGCCGAAGCGGCGGGGGAGGGGCGACGGGGACGAGGCCGAGGAGGCCCCGAAGGAGGGCTCCGAGGCGGACCCCGAGGCCCGAGCGTCGAAAAGCGCGGCACGCGCAGTGGCCCCTCGGAGGTCCGCACGGAGTGCCTCGGCCGGGGTTGGGCCTCCCCCCCCGGGCGGTGCGGCGCCTCGGGCGCTGCCCTTGGCTTACCAGCCTCGAACGTGTCCCTATCCCTAAGATTGACACGCCAAAAGGCGATGACAATCTCAGGGATGCGCCCTCAAGAAACAAGGGGATCCCTAAGGTTGGCATCGTGATGAGGAGATGCCCAGCATAGGGATAGGGACATGTTCCAGGCTGGTAATGGGCGCCCGTCGCGCGTCCAGGGAAAGGGGGGTCCAGCGCCGACCCAAGGCACCGGCGCGAAGCTCCGAAAGGGCACTCCCCGAACAGTGCTCGCCCTCACGGGATTCTGCCTCGCTTCTAGCACAGCGGATGTGCATGACGAAGTTTTGTTTGGTGCCAGGTTGGTGGCCGCCCGAGGGCGCCTCGTGGGCGACCCGTGGGCGAAGTGGGCGGGGCACGGTTTCGCCCGATGCCGGGCTGATGGCGGCCCGTGGGCACCTCGTGGCCGCCTGGGTCGTTGGGCGGGTGCGGCGGGATTTCGTTTTCGTTGGGTGCCCCGCGCGATGGCACCATATGGCTCGCACATCACAGCTTGCCCCACATGCGTTGCGTCACATAATTTCCCTACAACGCATCTATTAGATTGCATTGCACATGCTGCACCACCACATCCCACACACACACACACATATGTGAATTTATATATGTATATAGAAGTTGCACTGCACAGCCTGCTAATCACAGCTCGCACCACGTGTACCGCACCATGCGCATAGCTTGCGCCACACTGCTTTAATCACGTTGCTCACGCCGCGCATGTCGCACTACACAGTTTGCACCATTGTGACGGCACCACACAGCTTGCACCGCATAGCGTTCACCACACAGTTTGCAACACACACACACAAACACACAAACACACGCACACACACACACATCCGTATCTATTTACACATATATATATACGCATGCAAGATTGAATTTGCGCTTCACGCCATGCACCTGGATCCTTGATGTTAGGTATGCATGCGGCATGACAGAAAGGTCAAGCCGACAATTCAGCGATAACTCCTTGTTGCCTTTTCAAGCATCGCCGTGATAAGAATGGTATTATTTATCCTTCCTCCATGTTTCTTTTCCCAAATTATCGCCATACCCTGCGTATTCTCCCCATCCTCCTCAGCTCTTTTTGCGGAGGCTCTTCCTTGGAGAGACTCTGGGGGCCTCACAACAATTTGTCAGGCTTTCGCGAAGCCTTCTGGAGGCCTCCTGGGCGTCTGGTGGGGGCCTCTGGGGGTTTCCTCGGGTCACCCTGCCTCCAACCGCGGTGTTCCTGAACGACCGGGTCATGATTTGGCACGCTTCGGAGGGTGTCTTGGGGCCATCTTGGGCCGTCGTGGGGCTCTCCTAGGCCATCTTGGAACCCTGATGAGCCATCTTGCCATTTCCGATGGTTGTGGGGCGATTTTCGAGCCTCCCAGGCGGCTTCGGACGCTCAGAAGACCGCCGTCTTGGAGCGTCCAGAAGCCGAAAGAAGAGAACCCCAAACATTAATTACAAAAAACAAAGTTTTTGCTCTTGTTGCATTCTTGGGAGTGCTCGTGGAGGCCTCTTGGGACGTTTTGGAGCCGTCTTTGGGGATATGACCGCTTCTGTGGGGTCGTCGTGGACCGTCTTGGGGCTCTCTGGGTTTGTTTCTGGCTCTCGTGGGGTTCTCCCGGGTCGTCTGGAAGGTTGCCCGAGAGGCCTGGGGTGGGCCACATTCGTTAGGGTGGGGGGGCGCTTGTTCCGGGGTCCCCGGCCCTACAATAATCTTTGAACAGGAGTACTGTCTGGTGCAATCTTCCTCTGTCAATACACACGGTGTATGTATTGTGAGCCCCAGGGGGCTCTGCATCTTTGCGGCGCACACGGGGGCCCTGGCAGTCCGGGCGAGGCAGTTTGACTGCCGACTCGGGGCGAAATTGCACAGCGGCCGGGAGGATGGCCGAGGTGCGGGGCCGGGAGGATGGTCGAGATGCGGGGGCGGGAGGATGGCCGAGGTGCGGGACCGGGAGGATGGCCGAGGTGCGGGGCCAGGAAGATGGTCGAGCTGGTAGCCAGCCATAAAGGTGCGCGACCGTCCCGGACCCCCCAGTGCTTACCACATATGTATCAAGAATGCATATCACAGTTTGCGACGTATGGTTGCAACCTACTGTTCGGGGTCCACGCTGGCACATATGTTGTATACGATTTGCTACGGCTCTTCTAAAGGATTTCTCCGATGCGGACTCCAAGGCGGAGCCTGAAAACAAGGGCGCCGAGGACAGTGAGGGCGAGCCAAGTGCCAAGAAGAGGAAGACAGACGGCGACGTGAATGCGGATGATGAGAAGGCGCGGGCGATCCAAGGGACCCGCTGGGCCATGTTCAAGACCAGGGTCAGTTTGACAGCCATTCCCCCCCGTGCAAGTTTGGGACGCTCGGTGGGGGAGAAATGTGTCTAGGGCCATCGAGGTGAACTCTTCCTTTTCTGCATGGAGCACTCGACATGTCTTGATGACGCTCCACCAAGGGCCTCCGGCACGGTGGCGAATTCCTTGCGAGGTCTAACTGTGCTCCACAAGTCCCTGTTGTTGCAGGGCCCTCGGGCCGCACGAAAGGGGGGGATAGGGAAAGGGGGGGGCTATACAAAATATGCTGCGTGCAGCTGGTTTCGGCCCCGCCGCCGGGCCCACTCCTCGATACATGGGCGCCTCCCGGCGCCGGGAGGCGCTGGGAAAATCAGACGGGACGCTCGGTGGGCGCCTCCCGGCGCTGGGAGGCGCTGATTCTCGACCCTGCCCTTTGTGCTATCCCCCCCTCTCGTTCCCCCCGAGGCCCCGCGGCACCTGCGGCCCCCGCCGGGTCTTCACCAGGGATCGCCCTCACAGTGGTTTTCGGTCCAAGCCTCTGCGCTTCGATTCTGAGGCTCTCTGGTCCTCCTCCTCCCCCTCCTCCTCCTACTCCTCCTCCTCCTCCTCCTCCTCGTCTTCGCTGTTGCGCGGCCGGTGCCGCGGAGGAATAACCATTTTCCATGATTGGTGGGACCCCAGACCGTCAATGAGGTGTGCCGCCCAGGAAACATAGAGATGTCCTGTGCGTCCATCTGAGTCATGTTTTCTGTGGGTGGTTGGGCCCCAACCCACGGCACCTGCAGGGTGCGTTGTGCGGGTCGCAGTCGCAGTCGCAGTCGCGCAGCACCTGACGGATCTGTTCGACTCCAGCTCAGAGCTAGCTCGACTCTGGTCCGACTCGAGCTCGGCTCGGGTTCGACAGACGTTCGACACGGCATCGATGCGCGAGCTGTGCGAGTGGTTCCGGGAAGGTCCCCAGAGCGAGCATCTAGCACAGGGTTCCCTTCTGCCTCCCCGCCGCGCTCGCGCTCCCTCGGCTGGGGGGCCAGGGCCGCGGCTTTCTGGCCGCCTCCAGCGGGAAGCGCGCTGCGTCGTCTCCCCCCTCGATCCTCGATCTCTCGACCTCGATCCTCGATCCTCTGGGTCGCGTGCAGGATACTCGATCCTCGATCCTCCAGCGCATCCTCGACCCTGGATCCTCGACCCTGGTTTCTCATTGCTCACCCCTTTCCTTTCCCCAGCCCAGGGGGGCCTCGGGTTGCGCTCTCAGACAGCTCCACGGGCAGTCGCCCAGGGGCAGTCTCGCCCCCCTCCGCTCTGCTTCCCCAGGAGGAGGACGAGGAGGAGGAGGAGGAGGAGGAGCAGGAGGAGGAGGAGGAGGAGGAGGAGGAGGAGGAGGAGGAGGAGGAGGAGGAGGAGGAGGAGGAGGAGGAGGAGGAGGAGGAGGAGGAGGAGGAGGAGGAGGAGGAGGAGGGAGGAGGAGGAGGAGGAGGAGGAGGACGAAGAAGAGGAGCAGGAGGAGGAGGAGGAGGAGGAGGAGGAGGAGCGAGGAGGAGCGGGGGGGGAACGAGGAGGGCGAGATGCCCCCCTTTGCCGCGATGCCCGCCCCCCCCCACCCATGGGCCGGGCCCCCGCTCCGCCCTGTAAGCAACTCCCGTCACGCCCCCGAGCGAGCGGGAGCCCACTCTGCTTGCCCTCTCGTGGAGCGCGCGCGCTGCTCATCGAAGCAGCTTGGCATTCAGTCGGGCGTGTCCCCTTACAGGAGGACTCTTCAAGCGCATTCACAACACAGCCTGGGGACGATTCTTTGATGTGTCTTTGGCAAGTCTGGAGTATGTGATGACACTCTGTCATTTGTCTGCCAATAGCCGCCAGTAGGGGGGGCATGCCCGACCTAAATCTGCTTGCCCTCTCGTGGAGCGCGCACGCTGCTTACTGAAGCACCCTGACAGCTCGCGGCAGCCCCCCCTCGAGGCTATATTCTCTGAGATGAGCGAAGAGGCCGTCACGATGGACGGCCTCGACTGCGTCCGACACCTCAAGGTCAAGGGCTCATCCGCCGTCCTCACGATCGCGGAGGTCGGGGCCGAAACGTCTGCACCACGAGCAGAAACGTTTGGAGGTCTGTGGGTCTCTTGGGTCGGCGCGGGCCCCCCTCCCTCACACACCTGGGCGGAGGTTCTGGCGCGACCCGCGGCGCGTTCCGCGCGCCAGGTGTGTGTGTGTGTGTGTGGAGGGAGAGAGGCGCTCAGCTCGAAGAAGAAACAAAAACACAAACATAACGTAAGTCGGGCCTACAGAGGGAGTCTTCAATTAATACGATGTTTGACTGCTTTTGCGCATGTGTGTAGCATGTTTGTTTGCATTGACATTTTGTTCGCCCGAAATCCCCCTGTACGGTAAAAAAACGACCCTGTCGTTTCCAGGGCCCACTAAGGGCCCGACTTAAGCATAGACTTGTGGCGCTTCGCGCGGATTTCTTGGCTGCGCGCGGGGCCTCCCAGGGGCGGCGCTGGAGGCGCCGCCCCTTTGCGGCGCTCCGCTCTCGCCAGGGAGGGGCCCGGCTCGGAGCCCAGAAACCCGCGCGGAGCGCCGCAGCGTTTATGCGCATGCCGTTTTTGCGTCTCCCTCGATCAGCGCCGACCAGAGAGAGCTGTTCGCAGAGCTTTGAAACGTTCGTATGTCCGCGTGATCCCCGGACCCGCGGCCACTCCCTGGAGGTCGCCCTGGATCCACTGCGGCCCACTGCCGTCTCTTCTATCAGCGCCGACCAGAGAGAGTCGGGGGCGGCACAGAGGGGGGAGATGACTAGGTGGGTGTGGATATCATGGCGGGGGCCATGATATCTCCCCAGATTTTCTGGCGCCTCTTCTTATTTCATTACGTCCCTGGCCCCCCCGCTGCGCCGCGCACGTGTCGCCGGTCATGATTTGCATCCCCCCCCTCTTGGACACCCCCCTCTTGGCTGCTCCTGAGAGAGCTGCGCAGAGCTTTTTGAAACGTTCATATGGTCACGTGATCCCCGGACCCGCGGCCACTCCCTGGAGGTCGCCCTGTCCACTGCGGCCCAGGGTGCTCTCTCGGGGTGCTCTCCGGCGGGGAGCTCTAGACGGGTGCAGCTGTGGCGAGGAGAGGCCAACTCGTAAGTCGGGCCTGTCCCTCTACAGGGGGAATTTCCAAAAATGGGAAAAAATAGTCAGGGGACGATTTTTCTACTATGTCCGAGCATTTTGGGAGCATTTGCTGAATATTTTAATTTTTCGCCCACAATCCCCTGTAGGGAGACAGGCCCGACCTAAGCCTACTCCATCGTCCCACGAGTCTCGAAGCTCGAGCCACGAACTCGTGGTGCCCCTCGTGCTGTCTGACAGGACAGCGTGGTCAAGTGCACGGCGGGCGCCATAGTCAACGCCGCCAACGAGGCCCGCGAGCACTTGCATGAGGGCGCCCTCTCGCTGGGGGCGTCCTCTTAGGGTGCAGGGCCACGATCGGCTACCCGTAAGAGCGACCTTTCGCCAGTGTGACCCTTTGGTGCGGGCCCAATGGTGGCAGCGGCTTGTGCGCCTGGTGGTGTCCCCGAAGGACCCCCCGTGGACCGCGCACCAAAGGTCGCTCTTGCCTAGGGTGATTCTTTCGTGCCGCCGATTCTGGGGGCCTCTCTGGTCGACCGCCATGATATATGGTCCAGGGCTTGGGCCCCCCTCCCCCCCAATGTTGATGCCATTGGGCCCCTCTCCCCTCCCCGCGCGATGTTCCCCCCCGCCCCCCCCCTGTGGGCGTGGCGTGGTGCTGCGCTGCGGGGCCCCCCCCCCCCCCCCCTGTGGATGTGGTGTGGTGCTGTGGTGGTTCAGAGGTGGGCATGGCGTGGTGCTGCGCTGCGGTGCCCGCCTCCCCCCCCCTGTGGATGTGGTGTGGTGCTGTGGTGTTTCAGAGGTCGTCGTCCTCGTCCTCGTCGTCCTCGTCGTCGTCGTCGTCGTCGTCGTCGTCGTCGTCGTCGTCGTCGTCATCATCGTCATCGTCGTCGTCGCCGCCGCCGGCGTCGTCGCCGCCGCAGCCGTCATCGTCGTCGTGGTCGTCGTCGTCGTCGTCGTCGTCGTCGTCGTAGTCGTCGCCGTCGTCGTAGTCGTCGCCGTCGTCGTCGTCGTCTCTGGGACCATACCATCTGGGGGGGGTGGGGGCCCGAGGAATCCTAGGACCATACCATCTGGGGAGGAGGGGGGGGGCAGTGGGCCTGGAGCCCGGGACCATGTATGGTCAGATCCACGGCTTCAGGGTCCATGCCCTGGGATCTCGAGGAGCCTCGCATGTGTCAGGATGCAACTCCTTGGAGGTTTTCTCTTGCACAGGGTGTCTAGAGCTCCGACCATTTTATTCCGCTTCGCACACCCACCTCCCCCAGGCCCTCCCCCCGCGTCCCCAGCGCCACAGTGGGACCCCCGGTCCGCGGTCCTCTGCTCCGAGCCCCCCCGCGTCCCCAGCGCCCCAGTGGGAGCCCCGCCCATTGCCCCCTCCGCCACGAACGCTTTATTCCGCGTCGCACACCCACCTCCCCCCGCCCCTCCCCCCGCGTCCCCCGCGCCACAGTGGGACCCCCAAGCCGCAGCCCTCTGCCCGAGCCCCCCCCGCGTCCCCAGCGCCCCAGTGGAAGCCCCGCCCATTGCCCCCTCCGCCTCGAACGCTTTATTCCGCGTCGCGGCACACCACCTCCCCCACCTTGCTCCCCGCGTCCCCAGCGCCCCAGTGGGAGTTCCGCCCCGTGCCCCATCCGCCCCGGCAATTTATTCGCGTCGCGACGCACGCCACCTCCCCCGCCCCAGTGGGATCTCCGCCCCGTGCCTCCTCTTCTTCTTCCCCCGTCTCCTCTTCCTCCTTCCCCCTCCGTTTTGTGCAAGAGCCATGGCCAGCGTGCCACTTGTAATTCAGCATCGGCGCTAGTATAGCCATGATCGAGAGCCGGTGCAACCTGGCATCATCCTGTTTGATGTTTCTCATGCCGCTCAATCTGGATGAATCGGGCTGATTTTTATGGCTAGTCTGGACTCATATGGTCCAATGCCATTTTAATCGGGCTTCTTAGCACTCAGCCGGTCTGACGAAGGTCTCTGAGGAGCTGCCTCCGAAGATGTGGATGTATGCCGCACCTGGACGGGCGAAGATATTTCCATATGTGTAGATATACATTCACTCATATACAAAGATATATCATATATCCACCACCTCTCCGAGGCCCGTCGAGCGCTCCCAATGGTGCCCAACACAGGGTTGTTGTTTCTTTTCGAAGAAAAACGACATAAACATAAACGTTCGGCGCTCCGCGCGAATTTCTTGGATCGGCGCCTGGGGCCTCCCCGGCGGCGCCTCCGGCGCCGCTCGGCGCGCAGGGGGGAGGGGGGTCCAGCACATATCCAATAAATCCGCGCGGAGCGCCAACAGTTTATATGGTTATGGCGTTTTTCCTTTTATGTTTGGGGGGGGCACGGGCGCCACCCCCAAACAGCAATGCACCAAGGGCCACCCTTGGCGAAGGCCACCCTGCCCAGACATCCTACAATATGACATTTTCAGTGCGCGGCCCCAGTCCCGGGCCCTTCCCCTGGGGGTATTTTGTTAAGCCGGGCATGACCCTCTACCCAAGGCATGTTCAAGCATAGTCCAGAAAATAGTCTGGGCACGCTTTCTTTTATCACTCTGTGTGGCTATAGTTTAGCATTTCTGGTTTTTCTGTTCTTCGAAAATCCGCCTGTAGGAGGGCATGCCCGACCTAAAGGTAGTTCTTCATTCAGGATCCGTGTTTGATCGCCCCGCGGCCCGACAACGGACGCCAGAGGCCCACATCGACGAACAAACATTGCCCAGACGAGAGAAGTCACACCGTCGGAGAGATTGGGTCACGTGGATCGGCCATACGCGAGAGAGTGAACCCTGGCTCGAGGGACGTTTTGGTGTATGCACACTGGGGGGTCCCCAGATGGCGGCATGCGATCTGCGACAGCAGCGGCCTGCGCGCGCTGCTTCGGCCTGACCCGCGGCCCCCGAAGGTCGCACACCAAGAGTATAGATGGTACCGGAGGGCCGCGCCGCATCGCCGATGCATCGCCGATGGGACGCGATGTGGAGCCCGATTCGCTTCACGTCGACGTCGCCGATGCACCGCCAACATCGACGATGCGTCGCCAGTGCGTCGCCGGTGCCCAGGGTCATTCCTCACGTGTGGCCGAGTGGAGCCGCCGAGGGCTGCCTGGGCGGCGGCGGCATCGACGGCGTCATCGTCAAGCTCGGCGGCGACGCCCTGGCTGCCGCCCGCCGAGCCCTCCCCGTCCTCACGGCCGAGCCAGACGGCCCGCGCTGCCGCACCGGCGACGCCAAGCTGACGCCCGCAGGCGACCGGCGGCCAGACACGAAGCGCGCACAGACTGGTGCTCCCAAGAGCGACGAAGAAGGGACTGCTCGTGACCTCGTGCGTGCGCGGAGCTCGACATATCAACCGTCGAAGCTCCTCGCGGATTTTCCTTGGGCCTGCGCCGGAGCCCCCTTTGTCCGGCGCTTCCGGCGCCACTCCTGGCGCGCCCCGCGCGCCCCGCAGGGGTTCCAGCACAGATCCAAGAGATCCGCGGAAACCTACGAAAGGTCACCCTTATACTTAAGTCGGGCGTGTACCTCTACAGGAGATTTCTCAAGGATAGCACGAAAAATAGTCTGGGGATGATGTTTCGACTATTATTGACTGTTGCTGATAATTGTTAGGCTATATCTAAAGTTTTTTCAACATCCGCCTGCGGGAGGACATCCCCGACCTAAGTTTACGCTTATGCAGCTTGTTCTTCTGCCAGACCCCCTCGCGCCTTTACAGCATCAGGGCAGAATGTCCAGGAGGGAAAGACACACACGGACGCAATTAATCGTCGAGTCCCAGGAAAAGTTGGGAACATATGGGAAGCGGGGGGGAAGACGAAAACACAGAAAATGTGGGAAAGTATCGGGAATCTTTGGAGTTCTGTGTGTGTATATATATATATGTATGTATGTGTGTGTGTGTGCGCGTGTGTGTGTGTGTGTGTGTGTGTGTGTGTGTGTCCCAGGGTCCCTTTATGGGGGGTCCTTGCTGGGCCGTGGGGGGCCAGACTCAGGTTTGCTCAAGTCGGGCACGTCCCTCTACAGGAGGACAATTTTTTCGCGTAGTTTTGAATAGTTTTGGCTGTTTCTTTGGCAATTCTCAATTTTTGTTCAAAATCCCCCTGTAGGGGGACACGCCCGACCTGAACCCAGGTGTTGTTTTAATATAGCTTCCTGTCCTCAGTGGGCCAGTCAACGACTTGGGCATTTCTTGTATGATTTTCGCTCGAGTTGGATGATTGCCATTTCCCGCGGGCTTAGTTTTGGCAATTGTCCAGCGCCGTTGCTTTTTTATCGTTTTTCGATTCCGCTGGTGGGGGCTTGGTCCCGGTCGCATTCATGTTCTGGGTCCAGTCCGTGTTCGATCTTGTTCCGAACGTCTTTCAGACCCCCGGATTATCCAGGCTGTTTTTGTTCTGGTTCGGTGATGTGCTTGCCGTGCGCGTGATCAAGAGGCGCTTGTTTTGCCTGGCCTGGCCCTCCCACCTGGGCTCCAGGACAAGTCGCTCGCAGAAGAGCTGGTCCTGGGGAAGGCCAGCCTCCACCGGGACCGCCAGGCTCATTCCCGGTCGCAGGCATTTTTGCATACCAAACGAATCAACACTTGGACAAGCAAAAGGAGTCGGGCGAAGAGAACTATGCACATGCACCGCTCCTGGCAAGGCCCATCCTTGACCCAGGATCGGTGCATATGCCTTCCTGGCCAAGGTAGGAGGGCGTATGCACCGATCCTGGGCTCAGGATGGGCCTGGCCAGAATCGGTGTATGTGCATAGTTCTTTTTCCTCTAAGGAGTTGCAGAAGCAGGGTCAACGCGCACGGTGAGGGTGCCTTTGCACCCTTCCCCTCCGTGGCCCCTCCGTGGCCGCCTGCGCTGGTCGCGCGCCCCGCCCGCAGAGTGCCGGCATGGCCCGCCACGGCCCCGGGCATCCCGGGCGCGCGTCCCTGCTGTACGGGTTGACGGTGCAGGCTCTCGAGGGTCCGCGCGAAGTCGTGGGGCCGGAGGAGGAGGAGGAGGAGGAGGCGGCGGAGGAGGAGGAGGAGGAGGAGGAGGAGGAGGTTAGGAGAGGAGGAGGAGGAGGAGGTGTGGAGGAGGAGGAGGCGGAGGAGGAGGAGGAGAGGAGGGAGAGGAGGAGGAGGAGGAAGGAGGAGGAGGAGGAGGTTAGGAGGAGGAGGAGGAGGAGGAGGAGGATGCGGACCTGCGGGCGCCGCGTGGACGCCCCGTGCGCCGGCCGGCAGGAGTCGCCCCGGAAGCTCGGGGGGCGGCGGGCTCGCAGTTTTTGTGTGTGTGAGGGCTCGTGGCCTCGGCAGGCACAGTCGGCGGCGAGCGAGGGGGCAGAATGAGAAGGATCAGAGCCCCGAATCATCAGGGGTAACTCCGGTCAGGGATAACTCGGGTTCGTTTTTCGGGAATCCGAGCCCGACTTACCCCGGACCCGACTTGCCCCGGATAGTTCGGGCGTCCAGAGCCCCGAATCATCAGGGGTAACTCGGGTCAGGGCTAACTCGGGTTCCTTTTTTCGGGAATCCAGACCCGAGTTACCCCGGACCCGAGTTACCCCGGATAATTCGGGCGCCCAAAAGGAGAAGGCCCTCTCAGAAGTCGGCGGGACTTCTCGGAAGCCCTCGCGCCTTCTGAGGCGGTTGTTTCTGCCTTCGGGGAAGGCTCAGAAACCTGCTCCGGAGGCCGGGGGACTTCCGCCGAACCTTCTGAGAAGGCTTCTTTCGTATCACTTCCCCCCTCGCTCGCTGCCGATCGTAGGCTCTCGAAGGTCCGCGCGAATCCATGGGGCCTGTCATTAGGCAGCTGGTTGGCAGCTGCGGGTGTCGGCCCGCGGACGCTTCGTGGACGCCGCCCCGTGTGCGTTGGCTGGCAGGAGCAGTCTTGGAAGCTCGGGGGATGCGGGTCCATATAGCTTCCGTATGAGGGCTCGTGGCCTCGGCGGGCGCATACAGTCAGATCGCTTAGTAAGGATGGGCAGTTTTCTCGGGTCGGGCGAAAGGGGGGGATTGGGAAAGGGGGGGTTACGAAATTTGCTGCATGCAGCTGGTTTCGGCCTCACCGAGGGGCTCATTCCTCGATGCATAGCCGCCTCCGGCGCCGGGAGGCGCCGGGAAAATCAGCTACGCGAGCTGATTCTCAAACCCCCCCTTTGCTATCCCCCCCTTTCGCCCGACCCGATTTTCCCAAGGGTGCCCTGGCATCCTCCTCTCCTCGGTCCATCCCTGGCCACTTTCGTGCACCGCGCCCCGCGCAAAAAAAGCTTCGGGGTAGCCTTCCGAGGCCCTTGCAGCCTCACCGCGCATGCTTCTGATACGGGCCGGCTGTATCCGCAGTTCTTTATCCCGGGATCCGTGGCCTTTTGGTGATCTCGTCAGCGCGGATCCGTTCGTTTTTATTGGGTTGCGGCCTCGGGAACGCGCGCCTCTGCTTTATTGTATTACGAGGGGTCGTGGCCTCGGGAGGGGGGGCGATCCCCGCGAGAGTCTGCTGAGAGGGGAGGAGGGCCTTCAAACATTACAGTTGGAACCCATGCCAAGAAACAGCCTGCTTGCCTCCAGGGTGCCTTGGGTTTCGATGGTTTTGCTATGGAGTTTGTGGCCTTCCCACACCTAAAATCAATGGACATCCTGTGGTTCCAGGGTTGGGTTTCCTGTGGAAGGTTTCTTGTGGTCGGGCCCCTACTCTACAGAAACCCTACTGGACAGCCCTTGACATTCTACTACGCCTCGACGTGTCGGTGGGCACGGTGGTGAAGATTAGACCCCCGTGCGGAGGTTCAACTTGACGCCGCCGTCCGCGTAGGGGCTTTATCCATAGTCGATATACATTCTGCACGATCGTACGTTCTACACGCGTGTGTTTGAATCGTTACGCCCCCGGCAGGCCCCATTTTCGGCGCCCTCTCTGTTTCTTGGCAAGTCGTACTATGTGGAGAAGCCGCTTGGGTCATGCAGGAACGTTGCCAATGCGCCTGTGTCGAATACCATCATGCTGGCCACGCGCGCGCCCGCACGCGCATGTCAAAGTCCATGAACGCCAACTGACGAGTTAGCAAGGCAGCGGTGTAAAGAAAGCAGTGCGTCACGTATGATAGCAGCCCATTTGCTGCCAGCAAGGACCTATAACTTCTGCCCGCAATTGCCAGCACGATCTGGAACCCTCGTGCTTGTTTCGCAAGGATGTCCAACGAGGCGCGCGAGCAGTTGCCAGCATGAGCGGAATCCCTCGTGTTTGTTTCGCAAGGATGTCCAACGAGGCGCGCGAGCGTCGAACAACACAACCGGCACTCGCGGACCCGCCATCTCTGCCTGAGACCGTGCGGGCCAAACGCGCGCGTCTCCGCGCGCGCAGCTCGAGCCCGTGTGCCCGAAGCATTGCAAGACAGATCTGCTCAGGCGTACAAGGGCAAGGGCGTGTCTTTCAATCAAACACCTGTCAGATGTTCAGTGGGACGGGCCTTCTCGCCACCTTCATTAGCACCATCGTCATCATCCTCGCCAGCTTCGACATTGCCATCGCCGCCTTCACCACCATCATATTCACCACCATCTCCATCGTTGTGTTTCGTCATCACCGCTACCGTCGTTATCATCACCGTCGGTGTCGTTTCCACCACCATTCTCGTCGTCGTCGCCGTTGCCGATTTCGTCGTCACCCGCATCAGTCGCTCGCCCGAGCCATCAATCCTCATGAGAAGGGTCCTTGCGTCACTGCAACTGGGATTGTTTGTCATCAAGTTGCGTGAGGGTGGGCACGATGTTTGTGGGCATTTCAGCAGACGACGAGGAGGACCTTACAAGTGATGGCACCATGTACACTGAAACACAGGTTCACATCACATGTACGGTAGTGTGCATGGTGTGTATATATGTATATAGGTGTATTCGAAGTTGTATGCATATGTACACACTTGTTTACATACACCAGTATATATATATATACATACATTTATATAGATATAGATATGTAGGCACGCGTTGTTGTGCATATGTCTACATTTATATATATATATATATATATATGTATATGTATCCAGTTGCCTGCGGCAAACCCCGTCACCGTGCATGTGCAACAGCGATGCAGGAAGGAGGCTAAGTGCATGAATGCCGCAACTCCGACGAGCTGTCTGAAATGAGATGCGTCGTGAACTCGACCCCGCCCTCGTCCGCGCGGTACGGAAACGTAAGAGGAAAAAGGACGAGGAGGAGAAAGAGGTGGACGAAGACGAGGAGGACGAGGAAGAGGAGAAGGCCTCTTGGGGGCCTATTGGGGCCTCCAGGAAGCATCCTGAGGGCCTCTTGGGGGCATCTTGGAGGCCACCTGGGGCCTCTTGGGGGCCTCTTGGGGGCCTCTTTAACCTATTGGAGCGTCTTGGGCTGTCCTAGGGGGCTCTTGGCCTGCCTGAAGCCTTCTGAGGCCGTCTTATGGGGCCTCTCCGGGCCATATTGGTGCCCTCTTGGAAGCCCATTGGGCGATTTTGGGGTCCTCTTGGGCAGACTTTGGGCCCTTTTGGCAGCGCTATGGGCTGTCCTGGAGCTATCTTGGAAAACACCTCCCAGACAACAGCAAGCATTCTCACACGCCCACTCCGTGCAAGCACGGTGTCGAAAGAACACGCTATTTCGCAATCGACAGACTGTCCACATCGAACAGATTGCACAGGAGAGGTCACACACCTGGATGTGCAAGAACCCACTGTATGGGCGCGCAAGATTGCAAATCGGCAGCGCAAGTTTGTACATCGAGAGGACACGCTCACAAGCACTCGCTCTTTTACAGAGGTGTCCTCGAAGAACATGGGAGCACATGCTCGGGTGACAAGTGCCACTGGCCATGTTGTACAAAACAATTAAGGGTTTGAGTTGTGCAACGCCCATTCGCGGTTACGCGGGTCACGTGGTAGCAAAACCATGTTTCAACGAAGTCCAGCCGACGATCTTCCATAGGTTTGCACAACCCACGGATAAGTAACATGCACGGCATGGCATGCGTGTCATTGGTATCCTTTCCCCTCCCGGGGGGATGGAGGACACCAGAAAAAAGGGCGCAGGGAAGAGGGTCCAGCGCTGACCCAAGATATCTGCAAGGACGTCCAACAGTTTGTGTGCTATGCACGTTTGTGTTGTTCTGCAGGCGATCTGCCCTGCGAGTTTGTCATCCACGCTGTCGGGCCAAACTTCCGGAACTATCCTGACCAGAAGGAGGCAATGACGCTGCTTGTCAGCGCTTACAGGAGTTCCATGGAGCGCGCCCGCGAGAAAGGGGTCAAGAAGGTAGCGTTCTGCATGTTGTCGGCCGGCATCTTCCGCGGCGCATGCCCGCTCCACGACATCGTTGAGGCTGGTCTGATGACGATTGCTAAGCACGTGTATCCCGGTCTCGAGCGAGTGTATTTGTGCGCGTTCACCGACCAGGAAAAGGAAGAGCTGCGGGACATCGTTTCTGCAATGAAGTTACCCTAGTGTGCTCTCAACTTTCTGTCGTGAGGGCGGCTGGCAGCGCCCAGTACAGCTTGTCCCCTTTGAGCCCGCGCTATGTTCTGCATGGTCTGGCATAGCCCGAAGAAGAAACAACACCAGAAACATAAACTTTTGGCTCTCCGAGTGGATTTATTGGATCCTCGCTGGGCCCCCTGCGGCGCCTTCGGCGCCGCCCCTGGCGCGCTATTCACGCCAGGGAGGGGGGGCTTCCAGCGCAGATCCAAGAAATCCGCGCGGAGCGCCACAAGTCTATGTTCATGCAGCTTTTTCTTCTATTGTCCCTTTTGAGCCCGCGCTGTGTTCTGCGGAGTGTGGTATAACAATTCTTGTGAGGCGACCCTCGCCCTGGTGGAGCCCTCCAATTGGTGAGCTGTCGGGCACCCCGCGGCAGCCCCCGGCAGCGCGGGCGATGGCCAGGGCGAAGGCGGCGGCGGTTGCCCCTATTCAGGAGCGAAAGAAGGACGTACATGCACATGAATCCACGCTGGTTTCGAGAGTTCGCATTGCGCGAATGTTCGTATCGCGCGGCAGGTCTCGAGGGTCAAGGGGCCGTGTTCATGTACATAGCTGGGCGCGTACGTCCTTCGTGGGCTCCCTACCTATAGTCCTCCCACATGGGGCCCGAGCAGCTGGGGTCCGAGGGCCGCGCCGCGTCGCCGGATGCCTGGGCATATGCGGCTCGAGGCGGTGCCCGCTCCTCGCCCAGGCCCGACGGCGGCGGTGCATCGCCGATGCGGCGCGAGCCTCCGACCCCACCCGCTCGGGCCCGAACCGGGAAGCCCCCGATGCCAGCACGAGCGGCGACCGGCGGCGTCTCTGGACGCCCGAGATGGGTACGGAAGGAATGGGTATGCAATGCCCGACAGCAGTTCCTGTTCCTCTTGAGCAGGATTCGCTGTCCACGCCGCCGCGGCCCGTGTCCACTCGAGACGGGAGGCCGCCTGCCCAACCGCGCCCGCTGTTGGTTTGGGGCAACACTTGTTGTTGGGCATATTACCCATTCTTTCCATACCCATTTCCCAGACCCCCGACGTCATGATTTTTTCATGACGCGACCCCCAGAGGTCCGGACCCATTCCCTGGGACTGGTTTTTCATCCTGAGTCGTTTTTTGACGGTCCTGAGGGCCGGTAAGGGCCCCCGGAGGCTGAAAATAGTGAAAAACCTTCCGTCGTGATTTTTTCATGACTCGAGGGGGTCTGGGTTCGGGCGTCCAAAGCGTCGGCGGCGGGCGGCGGCCAGCCCGGGCGCGGAGGCCCGGTCGCGCCGCCGCGCGGTCGGCGCCGCGGCGGCGGCGCGCGGCACCGCTCGGCTGCTGCGGGGCCGGCGCGGCCTGCGGCGCCCGAGCTGCCGTCCGCCAGATCTGCTGGCGGCCCTGCAGGCGTCGAGCGGGGAGAGTTCGAGCTCAGGCCTCGCAGATGAGGTCCTGTCGGGTCGGGGCAAATGGGGGGATTGGGAAAGGGGGGGTTACGAAATTTGCTGCATGCAGCTGGTTTCGGCCCCACCGAGGGGCCCATTCCTCGATACACAGTCGCATCCGGCGCCGGGAGGCGCCGGGAAAATCAGCTACGTGAGCTGATTCTCAACCCCCCCCTTTGCTATCCCCCCTTTCGCCCGACCCGATCCTGGTGGATGGGTTCGACAAGGATTCGACGTGGTCCGGCGTCGATGCGACATCGACTCGACGCGGGTCCGACGCACACGGCGAGGCGATGGGACAGACACGGCCCGGCCCCCTGAGGATGGCAGCGGAGCTCTCGTTCGCCCCTTGCGCACATCTAGGCCTCCTAAATAGGGTCTGAGTAGATGGGGTCTGAGGGTCGCGCCGCATCGCCGATGCATCTGCGAATCCTCTCGATGGGGAGCCCGATTCTCTCCAAGCCAGCGTCGCCCATGCGCCGCCGACGTCGCCGATGCATCATTGATGCATCGGCGATGCGCTGCTCGGACCCCATTTGGGAGCCCTCTAGCAAGGCAGCGGGAGAAAACGAGGACAAGGAATGGGGAGGTTGAGAAGGCGCAGGGGAGGATCAGACGAGGGAGAGATAGTGACAGAGAGCTCGATGGAGTGAGAGAGAAAGAGAAAGAGAGTCAGAGAGAGACAAGCAATCACACTTGGAAATATAAGAAGCGTATCTGGTGGATGCCATTGGGAAGGCTTGGCAACCTCTCTCGGGGCGTCTGGAGCCCTCTTTGGGGATACTGGCTTGTCTGGAGGCTCTTCTCGTCTTGCGATCCTGGCCCTCTTGGGACGTCCTGGTGCCTTCTGAGGGGCCATGCTTGCGACATGTCTTGCAAACTCGGGCTTTCCTGAGGGCCCTCTTGAGCCATCTAGGGTCTTGCGGCCATTTTGGGCATTTAATGGAACGTGCGTGGAAGTTCATACGTGGGTCCCCATGAAGACTCTTGAGTCCATCTTGGGTGGGCACGCATCGATAACAACCACATGGGCTAAGTACACTCGTATGTGTTTCGATGATGCTGTGTGTTTGGGGTCTTCACACGGTTCTTCGTACGTTTTCTCGTGCGTTCTTTGGCGCCTCCTCGGGCCTCATCGAGCTTATTTGAGTTGCTCGCGCTATCTTGATATAATATTTGTGAATCTTGGCGACGCCCTGGAGTCTTCATGGGGGATTTGGGAGGCCTATATCAGTCTTTGGTGCATCCTGATCCCCCCATTCACCGCCCTCCCCACCTCCTCCACCCCTCCTCCTCCCCCCCGCTTCAAAACTGGCAGGCTCGAACCCTATATGGGGAAGTGTGTGGCGGGGAGTGGCAGACATCTCCCACGAAGATGCCCCAGGGGTCAGCGAATTGAAAGGCTGAATCGTAGGAACGCGTTGGCCAGCTTGAGCGATTCTACGCCGTCCTCGCCGCCAACAGCTTTGGCGTCGGCGACCTGCCCGAGCCTGCCGAACATTCGAGTGCATTCTGTTCTCGATTGGGCAAAAGTCACGAGCGTCGTTGATTGCCCCCTCCTTGGCTCAGGCTGCCGTCATATATGTGTGTATGTATGTATATAGATTTTTTTATATATATATATATATATGTATATATGTATCCGTGCACGTCTGGGGGATCGCCTCGTCGCACGGTGTCTCGGTGCAGCCCTGCAGAGGTGATTGGCTGAACTCGCCCACCTCCCAGTCGGCAACACGATTTCTCAAGACGCTGCTCGTACTACTTGTTCTGCAGATTGTGTTCGGGGCGGGCCCACATCCGTGAGTGCTCCAGGGCCCAGCGCTGCGGACAAGGCGGTCGGGTTTTTGCTCGCCAGTCCCAGATCCGAGAAGCGGCTCTCCCCCGCCTGGCCGCCAGCCGGAAGGAGTGTGAGGGGGAAGGAGGATGGGTACGTAAGGATGAGCAAGGAGGAGGATGAGGATGAGGAGGAGGGGGGGAGGAGGGGGAGAGGAGAGGGAGGAGTGCGAGGAGGGCAATGGGGCGTGAGTTGCTATGGCTGGGATCTTGGGCTCAGCGTGTCGCGCTGCCGGCTCTGGTCCACCGCGCTCCGGCGTGAGACGTCAACCTCGCGCCAGTTCCCAAGCGTCAACGTGGATGGCCCTGTTTTCCACCACCACCAAAGTTGGAGGGGGAGGGGGTCTTCCTTCTCCTCCTTCTCCTCCACCTCCTCCTCCTCCATTTCGTCATCCTCCTCCTCGTCCTCCACCTCCTTCCCCCTTCCAGCTTATGGTGGTGGTGGTGGTGGAAAACAGGCCCATCAAACGTCCCGAGCGACCCGGCCCCCCGCCGCGCGAACCCGAGCGACACGACGCGACCCGCCCGCACGGCACAGCGCGCCGCTGGGACCGCCGCCGCCAGCACGCGGAGCACAGGTTCCCGACTTCAGCGGCTGGAGTGGCCGCGTCCTCCCCTGGTGGGCTTGTTTTCCACCACCACCACCATAAGTAGGAGGGAGGAAGGAGGTGGAGGATGAGGAGGAGGAGGAGGAGGAGGAAGAGGAGGAGGAAGAGGAGGAGGAGGAGGAGGAGGAGGAGGAGGAGGACCCCCTCCCCCTACAACTTATGGTGGTGGTAGCAGAAAACAGGCCCATCACTCCCCCCCGGGCCTCCCAGAGGTCAGGGGCCCGGCAGGAGACCGATTGCGGGGTCTTCGAATGTGTCTTATACTACCCTCTGGGCCATAACGCGAGTTATGTCCCCTGCCATTCCCCCTCCTCCTCCTCCCCCCCCCCTCCCCCTCCACCCCCCTCCACCCCTCCTACCCCCCTACCCCTCTCGCCCTACCCTCCACCCCCCCATCCATGCCCTCCCCTCCCCCCTGCCCTCCCCCTCCCCTCCACCCCTCATGACGTAACGCCCCCCCCCCCCCCACCCCATGTGCTCTGGGGGGGTGGGGGGGGGCGCTACGTGAGTGCTTCTCCCGTCTCCCCCGCCGCCCTCTCCTCCCCTGTAATTATACCGCCTGCTATGGCCGCAAATTGAAACATGCGCTCTTCCCAGCGGAGGTCAAGCAGATCGCGCCCCCCAAGGATGGTCTTGCAGATCGCACCCCCCAAGGCAGGGAGAATCCCCTTGGCCATCCTCCTGCCCCTCACTCCTCCCCTCCGTAGCCTTCAGTCGGGAATGTTCCTCTACGGGTGGAATTCTGAAACACAATCAGAACATACTCAGGGCACGATTGATGGACGATTTTTGATTATTAGTGAATAGTGTTTGACTCTTGGCAAGTGTCTTCCAAATCCGCTCTCAGGAGGACACGCCCGACCTCGCCGTAGCCAGTCTGGCTCAGGCCGCGCTCGGGGCTGCCGGCGCCCTTCGGAGGCCTGCGTTCCGACGCTGCGCACAAAGGGCCGCACCACACAAAGAGAGCGAGGAATCTTATACATATCCGCTGCTCCCTGGAGGCTCCCAAGAGGTCCCTCAACTGTCCCCCGGAGGCCCCAAAGAGCGCTTCGAAGAGACCCCAGGAAGCATCCATGAGGACTGACCCACGTCAGCGTCGTCGTCGTCGCCGCCGCCGTTGTCGTCTTCACCCGTCGGGTCGGCGGCGCTGGCTGTAAGAGGCCTCGCAATAGGGCGACGAAATCTTTACTTAATTCGGGCATGTTCCCGTACAGGAGGAATATTCAATTACTCCGACGGTAGGATCCCACATGAGAATCTGTTTAGCTTACCCTTTGCCCTTTCCTCCTCCCCCTGGCGGACACCCTCTCCTCTCGCCCTCTGCACTGCCCTCTCTTCCTCATTATATTCCTCTTCCTACTTCTCCTCCTCCTCCTCCCCCTCCTCCTCCTCCTCTCGCGCCACCTCCTCCTCGTCGTCGCCCTCCCCCATGCCCCTGCCCTCCTCATCCTCCTGCTTCTTTTCCATGTGCACCTCCCGTTCCCCCTGGTCGTGGCAAGCAACTCGATTTTCCTCGGCGCCGTCGCCGCGTCGGCCAGCACGCGCGCGTTTGCCGACGGCTAGATCGCGAAGCCGTCGGGACAACCCTTCGGGCCAGGCCGTTGGGGCAACCTCGCAGGCCGCAGGGGCGCGGGAGCAAGCCGTTGGGACAACCCCGCGGGCCTCTAGGTGCGCGCCGCGGCGCTCAGGCGGGCGGCAGCACGAAGCGACGACGAGGATGAGGACGATGAGGATGATGAGGATGAGGACGATGATGACGGCCCTCGTCGTCGTGAAGGATAGAGGGAGGGAGGACGATGACGACGGCGGCGGCGACGGCGACGGCGACGACGACGCCGACGACCAGATTCTGCCGCAGACGCGCCGTTTTTCCGGACCCCTGGGCCGTGCCTCCGTGCGTGCGTTTCTCGGGCCCCAGGGGTGACAGAAACCGATTGGAACCAGAACGGGCAGAACAAAAATTGCGTCGGTGGCCCCTTACCCACGAACACCCAGGGCGTTGTTTGTGGGCGGCTGACGGTGGGTTACCACCGCCAACCCGGACGCAAGGGTTTCCCCCTGCGCCCGATTCGGCTGACGATGGGTTACCACCGCCAGCCCGGAGACAAGTGGTTACCCCTGCCCCCGATTCGGCCGAGGATGGGCTACCACCCCCGGCCCAGACGCAAGGGGCTACCCCTGCGCCCGATTCGGCCGCCGATGGGTTACCGGCGGCCCGGAGACAAGGGGTTACCCCTGCCCCCGATTCGGCCGAGGATGGGCTACCACCCCCGGCCCGGACGCAAGGGGCTACCCCTGCGCCCGGCCGCTGTCTCGTCGTCGTCATCGTCAGCTCCTCAGTCGCCCTCTCGGATGCCGCGGCCGTGGGGCGGCGGAGCCTCTCGAACCTCCACGCTGTCGCATGATTACAACAAGTTTGCCGACGACCAGCTCGGACGATGCTACCCGGACTTCTCAATCGCCCATTCGGGCACGCAGGCCCATGACAACAACAATTTTGCCCGCGACCAGTTCAGACAGACGAGACTCCCGCTTGGTAACTCCCCGGTATTCAGGCCGCAGGAGCGAGTTTTTAAAATCCGTCCTCAGACCTCCAAGTGACGACAGGAGACGGTCCTCTGACGGGGCTACGCGCACCGCCCACATACAAAGTTCCCCCTTGATGCTTCCCCCGTGTTCAGGCCGCAGGAGCTGAGGAGCCCAAAAAGCTCGTTCGGATGACCCGCTCGGGTTCGAACATGAAGTGCGTGCCCCACAGGGAGGGGGCTCCCGCCTGAGACTTCCTCGCAATTCACTCACCGACGGGCTCCCGCTCGAGACTTCCTTCGTATTCAAGCCTCAAGAGCCCAAAAGTGACGACAGTTACAGGGTTCCGATGACCCGCTCGGATTCGTAACATGATCGGCGGGCCCCATAAGGAGGGCGCTCCAGCTTGAGACGTCCTCGCGATTCACTCAGAGACGAGGCTCAAGCCTGATACTTCCTCCGTATTCAGGCCTCAAGAGCCCAAAAGTGACGACAGTTACAAGGTTCCGATGACCCGCTCGGATTAGTAACATGATCTGCGGGCCCCATAGGGACGGGGCTCCCGTTTGAGACTTCCTCGCAATTCACTCACAGACGAGGTTCCCGCCTGATACTTCCTCCATACTCATGCTTCAGAGGCCCAAAAGTGACATGATCTGCGGGCCCCATAGGGAGGGGGGTCCCGCTTGAGACTTCCTCGCGAGCCACTCACAGACGAGGCTCCCGCTCGAGACTTCCTTCGTATTCAAGCCTCGTCAAGAACCCAAAAATGACGACAGTTACGGGGTTCCGATGACCCGATTGGATTAGTAACATGATCGGCGGGCTCCATAAGGAAGGGGCTCCAGCCTGAGACTTCATCGCCATTCACTCAGAGACGAGGCCTCTGCCTGATACTTCCTTCCTCCATATTCAGGCCTCAAGAGCCCAAAAGTGACGACAGATACGAGGTTCCGATGACCCGCCCGGATTAGTAACATGATCTGCGGGCCACATAGGGAGGGGGCTCCCGCTTGAGACTTCTTCGCAATTCACTCACAGACGAGGCTCCCGCTCGGACTTCGTTCAGATTCAAGCCTCAAGAGCCCAAAAGTGACGACAGTTACAAGGTTCCGATGACCCGCTCGGATTGGTAACATGATCGGCGGGCCCCAGAAGGAGGGGGTTCCAGCCTGAGACTTCCTTGCAATTCACTCAGAGACGAGGCTCCCGCCGAATACTTCCTCATATTCAGGCTTCAAGAGCCCAAAAATGACGACGGTTACAAGGTTCCGATGACCCGTTCGGATTAGTAACATGATCTGCGGGCCCCATAGGGAGGGGGTTTCCCCTTGAGACTTCGCAATGCACTCACAGACGAGGCTCCCGCTCGAGACTTCCTGCATATTCAAGCCTCAGAGGTTCAAAAGTGACGACAGCTACGAGGTTCCGATGACC